AGGCTTTGGAGTAGTTATATCATTTACCAGTGTTGTCTCTAAGAAGGGAAACTGCATATTTAAGACAGAGGGGCTAGGTGCAGGCAACTGATCACCCAGCAGAAGGAAAAGCCAAAATGCTCACCAGCCACCAGAGAAAGAACTCAGGAGATTCGCTCTCAGGAAAGCAGGAAGCCACAAACTCCATCTGTATAGGGGCCCAAGAACCCAAGGGGAATTAGAAAAAGACTCAATGATTGCATCAGATAATGTCCTAGCAAGATGAGGCACAGGAGCAATACCCTGCTCTCTTCCCCCTCCTGTCTCTATAGTCCACTAGTGTCTGTCTAAATCATTCTCAGAGTGGCAAGTCATCTCCAGGGCTCATTTTTTGTTCAAGGCAGAACAAGATAGAGAAAAGGTGAACAGAAAACCCAAGGACAAATAGGGCCAGGACAATCGCTACTGTCTGCATTAGTAGATACTGGCCCTATGGGATGGTGGGGCATGTCCACTAGGAGAGAGAGCTGCATCCCACTGGGAGGACCCAGACGCATTGCTGAGCAGTCTCCTTGCTGCAAGCCTCTTCATCCATGCTGACCTCTCTCCACCATCTTGACTGTGTGGCTCTGCTGCAGTACTTAAAAGTACTATTTCCTTTTGTCCATACACATTTTTAAAGGGCCCATTTGGCTCATAGTCTGGGTGTTTTGCTGTTAACTCATCCACTGGCCTTTGGGCACAGCAAACTTTATAGCAGAAGCAAGTTAAGTGGAAGTCCAGCTGGAGAGCTGTCCATGGCACCAACCAACTAAAGATACTAAGAGATAGGGGCAGGGGGTGGGGGAAGGGGTACAGGGGGAGGGGTGGCATTAAAACATCTGTGAAAATGCCACTAGCTGGGGGGAAAATCAACAACTTGTATTTCTTAAAACTCTTCTGAGAGATCTTATCTGGTTGGCTTTAAATTCACTTTACCTTACCCTTTTCTCTTTCTCCTTCTGTTTTGTGCTGACACAGTACCAGGGCTTGAACTGAGGGCCGCAAGCTTTCACTTGGCTTTTTCACTTAAGGGTGGTGTTCTACCATGTGAGCCAACCACTTCAATTCTGGCTTTTTTTTTTTTTTCAGGTGTTTGAGACATGAAGGTCTCTTGAATTTCTGTCTGGACTTGCTTGGAAATGAGATTCTTAGATCTCAACTTCCTGAGTAGCAAGGGTAATAGACATGGGCAACTAGTACCTCACTATTGTATTTTGTTATTACTTTGTGGTGTACAGATGTTAACATTTTCAGCAGTGACACTGTTTTATGGGCAACTGTTAATATTCTCTAGAAATCTTCTAAGTGGAATTAACAATCATAATTTATATACTATACTACTGATTAGCATAGAACAAAAGCTCAAAAAGTGGGACCTTCTGTGTTATTACTGTCCAGATCAGATTCAACAATCAAATAGATGTTTTGTTCAAAATGGTAGGCTCAGGTAATGATTAGCCTTTTTTTTTTTTGACTCCAGTCGTGAGGCCCTGAACTCCGGGTCTGGGCGCTGTCCCTCAGCTCTTCAGCTCAAGGCTAACACTCTACCACTTGAGCCACAATGCCACTTCCGGCTTTTTTCTTTTTGCTTATGTGGTGCTGAGGAATCAAATCCAGGGCCTCATGCATTCAAGGCAAGCGCTCTGCCACTGAGCCACCTTCCCAGCCCTGATTAGCCTTTTAATGTGTGTATATGAGATTACAAAAATTAGAACACACATGTATTTTGTAAATCCAAACCCAACAACTTTCTCTAAGCTTAAATTTTGATGTTAAATTCTTACCTATATTGTGAAGGGAAGAAGAGGCAGAACCTCACCAAAATAAAATGGAAACTGTTTCTTTCTTTTGCCCAACCTATAGAATCCAGGGTGGTTTTTTTTTTTTTTTTGGGTCGTGGGGCTTGAACTCTGGGCTTGGGCGCTGTCCTTGTGCTCTTCAGCTCAAGGCGAGCGCTCTACTGCTTGAGCCACAGCACCACTTCCGGTTTTCTAGCGGTTTATTGGAGATAAGAGTCTCACGAACTTTCCTGCCTGGGCTGGCTTTGAACCATGATCCTCAGATCTCAGCTTCCTGAGTAGCTAGGATTATAGGCATGAGCCACCGGCGCCCGGCCAGGGTGGTCTTTTTTAAAATTATTTTTAATTTTTGTGTGGCATTTCTGGGGCTTGAACTCAGGACATACAGGCTGTTCCTGAGCTTTTGTTTGCTGAAGGCTAGCACTGACACTTACGCCACAACAGTTCCACTTCCAGCTCTTTGGTAGTTAATGGAAGGTTAAGAGTTTCACAAACCTTTCTGCCTGGACTGGTTTTGAACTGTAATCCTCAGATCTCAGCCTCTTGAATAATTAGGATTACAGGTGTGAGCCTAGACTGTCCAAGGTGTTTTAAGATGATCACTATGTCAAGGCAAGGCAAGACATACAACAGCTGAATTAAAAAAAAATGCAGCCTGCCAAAGTGAAAGCAGACATTGAGCAGCTTGAGTGTTGCTTGTGGATATATATGGCTTCTGATCAGGAGTTCTTTCAGAGTGCTTCTGGTACCAAGTAACAATACACCAACAGTGACTTAATCTATCTTAACACTTTTTATTCACCAATTACCAGGGCTCAGTATTGGCTTGGTAGCTCTATGGTGTTACCAATTTAGGATCTTTTTATTTTTCTATTCAGTCAGAACTGTAGTTGTCCTATTAACAACCATCAAAACAGAAGTGAGGTATCTTAGGAAGAAGGAAGTCAGGCACAGAGGATTATGCACCATGTACAAGTGTGTGTTTAGAGTCTTGTGCCTTTCTCCTTGATGGGATGAGGAGAGGGAACAGGAGATAAGGAGGGGATGAAGGGTGAGCAAATGCAGTGATCTGATTCTATGTATATTATGTAAAAATTAACTTTTAACTTGAGATTGGGTCAAGAATGGGAAAATGGGAGTAAAAATAATGGAAGCATTGTATGTATAACCTGACTTATGGAATTGTAACTTATAAAAGAGAAAAAAGAATATGAAGGGGAGGGGGACCATAGATGAGAAGATGAGAGGACAGAATGTGAGGAATGGAGGGGCATCTTTGCAACTGTAGCTCTTTAAACTGCTATAGTAATAGGACAAGAAGACAAATTCCATGTGTCTAAAGATCTTGAGGACTACCATGAGAAAAATACAAACTTTAATTTTACACATGGCAACATCAATTTCTTCACTTTATAGTCAAAATTTTTTCCTACCAAGGGGAACAGTAGAATAGAAGGGAATGTAATATGAGTATAATAAACAGGATATTCAAGTACAAAAACAACTGTAAGCACATATAGATTCTTTATTAAGATAAAAGGTTTTCCATTATATTTATCTCTAAATCCATCCTAGTCCAAAATAAAATAAATAATAAAAATCCATATCTTTAGGAAGATTTTTAACAATATAGCTTCGTAAATCTAAGATTACATGTCTGTCGATTTTATATTATTACAATTTAGATACATTCAATTATAATACAACACCAGGAATGTTAGCCTGAAAGGTAACAGAGTTTTCCTACTGGGCAGTATAGTCATGGTAAAAGTTATAGTTCAGTTTCACTTTTTTGTGTTGACAAAGTCTTAATCGGATGTTAGAATGGAAGGCAGAATTCTTTCTTGGTGCTGGATTTTAAATTTTGACAAATGGATTTTCCTCTTCTTTGAAATACTGGCTGGTATTCCATGTAGGAAGCAGGCTCTTAGGAGAAAGTTAGGTACACAGGACTCTTTCCTGGGGGAGGTTAGGGGTGGATGGACAGGGGAGTTCCAAGGGGAGGGGTAGAAAGTACAGAACCCAGGGTCTTTAGCCACAGTTATCAACAAGCCCTTTGTTTGGCCTTACTCAATTTTAATCAAACTCTATAACCACCAAGAAGCATCACCTATAAGGCTATGTATACCACCTCATTTCTCAAATTGCCTTTTGGTAATTAAAAATATTGTTCAGCACTGGTTTTCTAATTTTTTAAATATCCCCAAGGCTTCCACTACCTAAAAAGACTAATTCCATTATTTTACACTGTATCTCCCACAATAAAGAATTGAGACCATTATCTGTGAATGAAGAAATGGAAAATTGAGGTAAATATCTGAGGCAAAAATATGGGCTGTCTAAATTGTTCAGAGGATATCCTAGAATATGATACATTTCCAATCATTCTTGATACAGGATGTCATGCTTTATAAGAAACTTTAGTCAATGAGCCAAGTGCTGGTAGCTCATGCCTGTCATCCTAGGATGCTGAGATTTGAGGGCAGAGGTTTGAAGCCAGCTTGGTCAGGAAAGTCCTTGAGACTCTTAACCTCAAAAAAAAAAAAAAAAGCTAGAAGTGAGACATCTCAAGTGGTAAAGTGCTAGCCTTGAGCATAAAAGCTCAAGGACAGTATCCAGGCCCTGAGTTCAAGCTCTAGGACTGGCCCAAAAAAGAAAAAGAAGAAATGTTAGTCAATGTTCAGAGAGTAGAATGTCCCATATCAAACCACACTTCTCTTAAACCAGCCACATGACTTTGAAGTAGCATGAATGATATTGGATAAACCTGCTCCGCAGCTTCCTCTTTTTTCTTTTTTAAATGAATGGCTTTTATATAATCAAAAAACTTAAGTAACATTTAGTCTGACTGTCAGGCTATTCTGGTATGAACGTAATATGGAGGCTAGTGGAATAGCTTCTTGTGTTCGATGTGTCTGAAGAAAATCCAGTGATAAATGCTACCCAACGTGCAATGTATGTATAACAAACGTGTGGCTCTAGCTGTGTGCAAAGGTCAGATATTTACATGGAATGTTGACCTTGACTTATAAAACTACTATTTTATATTATGCATCTTTACATACAATTTATGAATAGCCCCATTTGATAATTAAAAAATATGCCTCTTGGATATCTCATAAATATATAAAATTGCATTATTATTTTAAACATGACATCTAAACTGTTTACAAAGCAACAAAAATCATTTCTTTTGGAGGTCACAGAGCTGTAATTCTCCCCTGGCAAGACTTCATGCATGCAAAGATGGCATGTTTTCTAACAGAACTTGAGGGCATCTGCAGTGTTTTTACTATATGAAGATCAGTAGTAACAAAGGAAAACAAGAGGTTCCATCTAAACACTTACAAAGTAAGTGTTGTTCTTATCCTACTTAACAATGCCAAAGTTATGACAGTGTCTGATCATTTTAGTGACAAAGACATTAACATCAGGTAAGTTTTCCCAGTGATTAGGAAAGTAATACAGACAGGGAATTTGATCAAAGTACATTATATGTATCTATTGCTTATCTGGATGAAATTCCCTTGTACAATTTAAACAGTTCTCTAAAACACATGTTAGTACAATTTAAATGAACTGTGACCAAGTATAAAAACTGGAAAAAATGCCCACGTTTCTTTAACTGTATCACTAATGTATAAAATGCACTTTAAATATTTTAGAATACAAATCATATATTTATGATTTACTGAGAAAATCCAAAGTTAGAAAATGAAAAAAGAAATAAATAGAAAACCTTCTGATAACTCCAGAAATGTCTTCTGAATCTCTGTAAGTAAAAAAAAAAAGTCCTTTTTAATCATTTCTTACCCTAAGATACCACCATGCTTACTAATACCATAAAGGGTTTTATGTTTGTAATAATGTTTAAGTCTATTTTCCAAGCTGGGTATGGTGACATGTGCCTGTAATCCCAGCAACTACAGGGGCTGAAGCCAAAGATTCAGGAATCTGAGGCCAGTTTGGATAGCACAATGTATTACATTTTCTACCATAGAATTGGTAAGCACTATAAGACAAAGACTACTTGCTCAAGGTCCATTTTTTAGTTATTCCTTTAGACTGTAAAATGTATGTGTTATGAACATATTGCATATGCAAGGAAACATTTACACTTCTGAAACAGTTTGTCTCATTACCAGCCTCATTAGATTTAAAAGGATTCACTTGGAAATAACAAAGGGACTTATCTATCTGGAGCCATTCAAGGTGCTCAATTATTACCTTCAAGGGCAATGTGCCAAGTGAAGGTCACCACATCTGGCTCACTGAAGGATGGCACTCCTTCCTGTCTATACTGTCTAGGGATGTGTTTGAAAAAATTCAATCTTACACTGCAGATTGAGTTATACTAAAGACATTAGAAGGTTCAGAGTTTTTCTAAGAATATAGAATTGTGAAAATGTGGACTTATAGATCTTATAGTCACACACTGTTTTAAATAAGGAAGAAAAAAAGATATACAACTAGTACTCAACTTTACCAAGATTGTATACAATGCCAGTGATACAGATTTTAAAAAGAACAACAATAAACCTCTGCCACTAAAATGGTAACTGATTGGATCATGCACCTTACAAAGATAATTGTGGAAATTTCCCTTAGTTATGAATGCAACCAGCTCACTGGCACCCAATGGGTATCAGTCTCTAATTTGTCAAAAGTTGTTTTTAGCTCATTAAATGCCACCGTGAGATCATCATTTACTATAACTTTGTCAAAAAGATGGCCATATTGACTTTCCATTATCTGTGCAGATTTAATCATTTCTTGGAAGTCTTCTTCCTACAAAAGATTAAAAAAATTCATTAACTAGGCAATTAAGTCAGCTCACATTAATGAAAACATCTCACCCTGGGTTTACCTACAGCTGTTGTGGGTTTACCTACAGCTGTTGTGGGTTCAGAGTTGCATGTTTTGTCAGGAATAAAAATCCCCTTCTTTAACCATGACTCGTTTACAAGATCACTCTGTGTGTGTGTGTGTCTCTGTGTGTGTGTTGATACTAGGGTTTGAACTCAGAGCCTGGGCTCTATTCCTTACCTTTTTCACTTAAGGCTGGCAATCTACCACTTGAGGCACAGCCCCACTTTCAGCTTATTGCGTTTAATTGGAGATAAGAGTCTTATGGGCTTTCCTGCCCATGCTGGCTTCATACCTCAAATGTCAACTCTGAGCCTGCTTGGTAGCTAGAATTCCGGTCATGAGTCACTGGCTTCTAGCTTTGTTTATTTCTGAGCTAAAGGTAGAATACATTATCTTAAGAATGGAAATAAAGACCAGGAAGGGCAGCTTCCCTTCATGCATATCATGACAATACATGGTACAAACACACCACTTCTGGTGTGCAGTCATGGAAAATATATGTTGAATGTTAGTATGCTAATTCTATGCCTGAAATCATACTTACTAAATGTGATTGTTGATATTAGCAGACAAAGCAAATTACTGCAAGCTTCATTGAGATTATTCACAATAAACTAACTGATTTTGGTGTTTTAAGCTTTAGAAGTTAAGACTATTGGCTGAACACTGGAGGCTCATGCCTATAATTCTATCTACTCTGGAGGCTGAGAACTGAGGATCATGGCTCACAGGAAAGTCCATGAGCCTCTGACCTTCAATTAACTACCAAAAAGATGGAAGTGGAGCTGTGGTTCAAGTGGTAGATACTAACTCGAACACAAAAGCTCAGGGACAGTGCCTAGGCCTTGAGTTCAAGCCCCAGGTCCTGCTCACAAAATTTTTTTTAAAAGAAAAAGAAGGTTATCCTAAGATAGAACTATTCTTTTATATAAATGTTTGGCTTAGGAAAAAAACTGTAACATGTACATTTAGATAGAATCTAGCCTGTGTGTATTAGGCCACTGAATTATGATATTCTTAACAGCACAAAATAGTTTTGAGTCAATTTAATTATTAAGCTCCATACACACACACACACACACACACACACACACACACACA